TGTATTGTTTTTGTCTAGTGGGTGTATACGCAATGAAATTTTCACTTAATTTTGATACAATTGTTTTTAAGTTACTAATAAATTAATTCTTCATTAAGGGTTATTTCAATCGAAATATTTTTTTTTTGTATATTAATTGTAAGATGTTATGTTATTTTTAAGGCGACTTAAAACGCAGAACATAAAAATATTCGCTGTTTAATTTCAATAAAATTCCATTTATCGAAGTATTTCTAATTTTTTTTTTCGGAAAAAACAAAATAAAATCTATATGAGATCTACTGTTGCTGCTTAACAAATCTAGGACACCTGCGATTTTTTTTCCTCGACGTCGAAAGCTTTCAAAGTGTTGTTTCAAAAAATGGAAGCTACAAAAAACCGTTTTATGAAATACGGATCGATGAGCCATATTCATAGTAATACGATTTACTCCGGGCACAATATTGAATTAGATTATTAACAAGAATTACTTATTCTTCAAGATCTTTCAAGTTAATTGTGCTATATCTTATGAATTAAGTTAAGGAGGCAATATAGATTTTTACAAAAATGTGCGTAAAACTTGTTCAGTAATTTGACTACAATACTTGTTAGAATATTACTGCTTTTTAACAGATTTAATTTACACCCAAAAATCGATTTAAATTTTTTTTTTAAAGAAATAAATATTTAAAATGTATCAGAAANAAAGCTAAAAAAAAAAAAAAAAAAAAAAAAGGTAAAATTCGTACCTGTGATAATTAAAAGTTATCCTCCGTTAGTATTTGTTCGTCTTGTTAGATTTCATACAAATCGTTTTAACCGTTTAACAATAGCTTTACAAATTGACTACAAGACAATGTTTACACGCTTTTATTATCCAATCAAACGATGAGAAAGACCTTACGTCACCATTCACGATTAATGTTCGTTTGATCTGATATCGTGCAGTGATACGGACGATTTTTTTAATCATATTTAATAGAATCAAATTTACAGCTTTGGCAGAAGAGACAGATATCCTCTTCTGAATCTATACCCTTTTTTTGGGGGGTATATATATTTTTCATCTACCGCTTAAGCGAGGATTGTTAAATAAAGACCTAAATAGTATATCGTGCTCACATTTCCAGTTTATAATCTTGCGACAGGTCTTTATACGATTGTTTTTTACAGAAATTTTCTGAAATTATAAGACCGTATAGGCTTTATTATTATTTTAATAATAATGAACAGTCAAATGAATGAAGCATTGTGTAGTCAAATAAATAAATTTTACTTCTAGAACGTATGCTATTAACTGTGAAAGCCGATACTACGCTTTCCCCCCTTTTTTTCTATTTGTTTCAGGTGTGAAATATTTCCACGTCTCGAATAACAAAATTTATTATTTATTAAAATTGAGGATTAATTAATTATTATATATAATAAACAGCGAAAATCATCACTTTTGTTCTCTAATTTCGAAACTCGATTGGTTATAATAATAGAATTATTCTAGACGTCTGATTATATATCTATGTCAAGAAAAAATTTCCATGAATAAATGTTACATAACGTCTTCAACTCAACACTGTGCATTAGCAATAAGAGCCGTTTTCTAAAAAGAAATCAAGAGTGCTTTGTATAAATTTATATTATAACGTTTTGTATTTAGTATATGTATGCGTTTTTTTTTTAGTTCTGTGACGTCCTCATCACTGTAAAATGAGCGTTAATAGTAGTGTCGATTGTTAGTAACTACGTTTAATGAATGCAACGTAAATTTTTTATCAGTCATATAAATATGCATATTTTCCGTATATTTCAATACTGTTTTGTAAACACAAAAATGAAAATCCGATATTTTTTGATGGCGTGTGCAAATTTCGAATTTAAAATGCCCAATATACCAATCACTTCCGTACGGTTTAATTATAACAGTCAATTTTAACACGGTATAACCAGCAAAACCGGAATTATACTTAACGTCCGAATTAAAAAACATGTTGATTATTAAGCATTTTAACATTTTAAAATCGCATAAAGAGCTCGAGTCTGTAATTTTGAAATCAGAATTGTCCTAGATCAACGCCTGAAGTCGGATAGGTATAAATGAAATTCGTCTTATCTTCGTATTAACATGCAAATTCATTCTAGTTTTTTTTTTTCAAAAATATTTAGTTTCTACTAATTAAACGAAATGGCAGGTCAAATATTGCCTCAGGAGTAAATATCTCATTAAAGCATTGAATTCCCTGTTGAATCAATCGTCTTGTTGAAAGTTAATCTTGAGGGATTGAAGAAAAGAGTTATTATGGCATTCGCGACGATGTTTTTCTCATATCCGTTGAAAATAATGCGGTTTGGTAAAGCTGAATTTAATTAGTTGTAAGCTGTATCGATATCAGTATTTTATTTTTTAACCAATGTTATAGAATTATAAAATGTGCTCAGATTAATTTCTGAAATTTGAAAGGATTTTTGAATCCTGCGCTTCTAATACTAGGCTTATAGGGTCGAAATATGTAGTAAATTTAATTTTGCGATAATTTCGACATTTCTTCTAAACACCTAAATTACGTCTGATAAAAGTTAACGCTTTTTATCTACAAAAGTGTCGATTATCGATGGAAACTTCTAACACTTTTATAGCACTCTTAAATAATAATAATTACGGCAAACTTGTTTCATTTTAAAATTTTTGATACTTAACAGGCTATTTAAAAAGATATGCAGAAAATTTCCCGAATATTTTTTTAAAATATCGATGCAATTTTTAGGAATATAAGGACCTTTTCAAACATTTGTGGAATTCCCAATATTAAAAATAATTTTGAATCGGTTGGATAAAATACGCGAATATTAATTTGTATCTAAATAATACGTGGTGGATGATGAAGTTTTGTTCTGAATTTTGCGGTTTTAAGTCTCTCAATTGATCTAGTGTGAGATTTCTATGATAAAAGGGAAATTATGTTGAAATAAACACAAATGTTTTCTTTCGCTTACTTTCAACGTAGATAAAATGTTGATAGATAGCTACGAAAGGCGAATTTTTTAAAAGTTTATCACTCAATACATTTCTCGTCCTTAAATGTTAGTGTGATAAGTTCGCAACAGCTGATTTTCATTCAGGTCGAGAATAATTTTTGTTGAAAACGCAATCGGGAAAATAGAATTGTTTAATTATTTATCACTCTATGCGAAGGAACCAAATCTTACACTTTTCGTAATTGATTTAATTCTAGTCGAGCAAAAGATACAGGTTACAATCTCGTAGGCTATAGCAATCGTTCCGCAACATTTACAGCGAGGAGCCGGAAGCTTTCGGTAATTTTTCTTGAGGTCCCGTCCACATCGAATACACAAATACGTCTCTCATGCGCAACAATTTTCATTATAACCAATAGCTTATCAAGTTCGTGATTGTTGAGTGATATTATCTAATAAGATATTTCATTTGTCTAAATCTGACGTTTCTACAACGCTCTTCTTTTTAGAAATTTGCTATTATTTTCTCTAAGTCGTATATTAACGCATAAAGTTAATGCGTTAATATAGAAGTTTACCGGTTTATATTTACTTTAAAGAAACGGATCACGTCACTTATCACACTCGACTTAGAGCACTTCAACGTATAAAATATCGAATATATATCCTTCACGAGTGCTTTTTTTTCGGGAAATCCACGATACTTTGCAAGTTTTAAAGCTTGTAAAGTAAATAACAATAAATAGGAGAATTTCTAATGCGATTCTGGTAAATTGACAGATCTGTTAGCTTTAGTTTAATTTAATTACAGTATATATAATGTGTGTCACTGAATATTACCAAGTTTCAGGATCATAGAAAAACCATTTCATCTTTCCTATTAGAAACTCCATAAAAGAATTTATACGTTTCTAACTTATAAAAGTATTCTTTGCATTTATTAATTAACTAAGAGTAATATTTAAATAAATTTTTAATTTTACTAGAAAAGTAAATACCGTATTCTATCTTAGGATATAAAAATAATGTAGAATGAAACTATTCACAACAAATATCTTCAATCTGTATATACATATCAGATTGAATTTCTGATAGATAAAATAGATAAAAATCTCACTTAGGATATAATTTGTTAGTTTTACTTATTTAAATTGCGGGATTTTGTTTAAAAAAATTAAAGTCCTAGGGGAAAGAAGGGGGATAAAGCTTCTAATATTCGTTCGTACGAGACGATGACGTAAATAATTTTTGCACGTTGTTATTTGTATATCATAAATAATCTTTCCAACATTCGTGTGAGGCTTTAAAGAGAGAGAATACTTCGCGTGATATCGTCAAACCCTTTATTGCCCGTTGTAGTAGATCTGATTACAGCTCTGTCGACAGTGCGGTAGAGCTTTTAACGCCTCTATACATACAAATGCTGTCGTTGCTTCGCTACGACACCGGTTGATAGATGACTTTTAAAACTACTGTTCTGCGATGATCGGATATAGAAATACTAACTAAAAAATTAATATATATATGTATAATTATCCGGACCTAGCGATTAAAACTGTAAATTATACTCTCTATCGTTTCCTGTTTTTTTCACACCTGTAATATACATATAATACAGTTAATTTTATTGCGTGGGGGATGTTTCTAAGTGACGTTTCAACTGGCATTTATTGTATTGAAACCGTACGGATGTGAGAATTAAAAAACAAAAAAGTAGAAGAAAAAATTCCGCTCTCTTGGATGGATATATTGTCTCAAGTGGCGCATAACGTCATGCTTGGGCGACTCTGATGTCTCAGCTTGTCTACTTCGATGGATCGATTCTGTGTAGAATTTTGTATAAGGCATCATTTTAATAATCGAGATTAATAGTAACGTATTAACCCATAAATTACAATTTCTGCTTAATTTGTAATTTGAATGTTACTATTTAGTTGTTTATTAATAGTTAACAGTAGCGAAGTGACTTTATACTAATTCTATTTAAAAGTACGTACTCTCTACATATAAATATAACGTATTTAGTGTAATAAATGATGCCAACTTACCTGCAATATACTATAGGTTCCGACAATTTGCATATTTTTATAGATTTTCAAAAAATTTTTCCGTCCAAAAATGTACCTATAAATACGAACATAATTGGTTTTAGTAATGATATGTCATGGCTATTACGATAATTATCATTTAAATTAAAGAAAAAATTAATTTTAAAGTAGGTTGCCGCCCATCGTAAGAAGCCATTCTGGCTTAACAAAAATGTCGAGCCGTCTTTAAAGCAGACAAAAATTTCATTAATTTATTTTGAAATTAGATCAAATAAAAATTATTAGAAGTTAGGCTATAACACAAACATGGAAAATTTGATAAGCTAAGTGTCTCGGCATATTTGAGCTATATACTAGTATATATTAATTCGTTAATTAAAATTAGTTTTCCGTAGCATTTTGTGTAGGGAGACATAAAAAAAAGGGTCTGTTCGTACATATTTATTTAATTTTTTAGTGCAGGAAGATTTTCAAAGCTATAATATTCCAGATTTGCTCATTTACATTTTTAATTTATTTATCTTGTTTCGCTATCACTAATAAAGAGCAGAAAACAGATGGTGCTTGTAGGTCTACGGTGTGTTTGTTTACAATTAATAGATTTGATGATTTTTTTTCACTCCTTGTAACCTAAACGCCCATCTCGGCAGTAAAATCAGCTCCTGGAACTGTACCAAACCGGATAGATTTGTCATTGTTGATTAAGCTGCAGACATCACCATATCTCATTAATATATCATGCTCACTTCATTATCGTTTTCACGTAGGCTTTTATTTGTTTTGGTTACAGGCGGTTTCGATAAAGTCGACCACCAATCAAAATAAGAGAATTAATAAAACTTTTTACATGTTGATCATTCGAACTCGATTTTTATTAGATCTAATTTCAAGTAATAGAATAATAATAACAATAATAAGAAGCTTTAACGCGGTTCTGTTTAGTATTTAAACACGTTATTCTTTTAAAGACGTTAATTTTAAGCGCGGAGAATGTTGAACCCATTGTGACATTTCGTATTTAATGAGTGCAATGTTATAAATTATGTCATTTACAACTAAATCTGGCTACGGGCGATGAGCTCTACGCGTGAAGTTATTTTTAATGGTATAATGTAGTCAAAAGATGGATACATTGACATTTTGATAGTCACTGTAATAATTGTGTTAGAACGTATAGAATGACAAGTAAGATTCAAAAATCTATTTTAATCTATTCAATAAATAGTATATCTGTATCATAAATAGGACACCACCGCAGACAATGTGGATTAACTGTGAAACTCGAAATTATTTTCAGCTCTTTTCGTATAATTGATTTTTTTTTCTTTTACTCACGAAAATACATTCAATTTTAGATTAATTATGGACAGCAATCAGATGTAGGCCTATACGGAGTACGTTTATAAGTACTGTAACTTGTTTTTATGAGAGGCTCTGTTGGGAGTTCGGAGACCGAGAGGCCTTATTATATCCTGGATCCGCAATTTATATCATCATTCATTTTTGTGGTTCGCTTAATCTCAGAGCAGGACGAATGTAATATTAATGTGAGATCGTCTCTGCTAATAACTAAAACAATTTAGATACTCTACAATTGTTTTTAAATTATGACTGTTAACACGAATATCTGCATATATACACAATGGATGGATGATATTGAATTGGCTTCGTGTCGAAATATGAACTTTTATATGCTATGTCACGAAAATAAAGAATAGAATGATTACACTTGTGCTATTAAAAAGGTTGAGAAAATGGTGACTATAAAAAAAGAATTAGAATACTGATTCTATATTTTTACAGATCAGTATTCAAATTAAATACAGTAAAACCTGTGTAAACCGGAATCTCTCTGTACCGAATATTTTTCCGGTTTGGAAGGTTTCCGTTTTGGAAGGTTTCCGTTTTGGACAGGTTTTTTAAACAAAAAATGGTTTCTTTCCGAAGAATTCTTTCCGTTTAGGCAGGTTTTACTGTATAACTTGATATTGAAAGAACATATTTTATATGGAAAAGGTAACGGAAGTGAAACTTTAGCGCTTTTATTAAATGATCATGGATACTGTAATTTTGTATTATTAATAATTCGATATTTATCAAACATTAAAGCCAAGTTTTATTAGTCTGGATTTTATATTAACCTAAATATGACTATAGAAAATTCTTATTTGCATATGACTTCCATTTAAAACATACTTTATCATATTGATAAGTTAGATTGATTGATTTCCCATTTAACTAATTAAATTAGCCGATACTGAAATAAACTTTATACCAAAAGGACATTAATATGATTCAATACATATATTTTTTAATCATATTAATCGATTAATCTAAAGACCTAAAAATACACTTAATTCAATTATACTGGATACCATCAATTAAAAAAAGTATTCAAATGCAAAATTCTAATATATTACTCTGAAATAATTTCCTATTAATTTTTCCCTGTTCTTATCGCTAGGTCGAATCGTTTTAAAACTTCCTTTTCTGTAATGAGGGTGTGGTCCAAACGTAAATCTCGTCTTCTATCTTACTCATTACCATATTTTTTGATGATTATAGATTTTGTAAGCATGACTATGACGCCTGTTGGAGTCGTTAGAGGTCAGTGAATTATTTTAAAAAGGAAACCTCGTTAAAAGTTCCGTTTCTGTAGGTCAAAGTGTTATGTTGTTATTATTATTACTTTATTATTATTATTTTAAATTCAGGATTAATTGTAACAGAGGGAGCCACAAAACGGTCTTTTCTTATTAATCGATGGGTTGAATGGCCGAGGTGTTAGCAGATAAAATTCATTTTTATATGAAAAAATTTTCCAGAAAATATTTTGTCGTACAGGAATTATCGCGTAACTGTTAATTAATTTATAAGTTTTTAAATGATATATACAATTCACGTGTACTTGCCAGCTTAATCTATAATCATTTCTTTTGGTCAAGGCCAAGATCGTTGATGTTTGAAGTGCGTTTGAATTTGTATTGTTTTTGTCTAGTGGGTGTATACGCAATGAAATTTTCACTTAATTTTGATACAATTGTTTTTAAGTTACTAATAAATTAATTCTTCATTAAGGGTTATTTCAATCGAAATATTTTTTTTTGTATATTAATTGTAAGATGTTATGTTATTTTTAAGGCGACTTAAAACGCAGAACATAAAAATATTCGCTGTTTAATTTCAATAAAATTCCATTTATCGAAGTATTTCTAATTTTTTTTTTTTCGGAAAAAACAAAATAAAATCTATATGAGATCTACTGTTGCTGCTTAACAAATCTAGGACACCTGCGATTTTTTTTCCTCGACGTCGAAAGCTTTCAAAGTGTTGTTTCAAAAAATGGAAGCTACAAAAAACCGTTTTATGAAATACGGATCGATGAGCCATATTCATAGTAATACGATTTACTCCGGGCACAATATTGAATTAGATTATTAACAAGAATTACTTATTCTTCAAGATCTTTCAAGTTAATTGTGCTATATCTTATGAATTAAGTTAAGGAGGCAATATAGATTTTTACAAAAATGTGCGTAAAACTTGTTCAGTAATTTGACTACAATACTTGTTAGAATATTACTGCTTTTTAACAGATTTAATTTACACCCAAAAATCGATTTAAATTTTTTTTTTAAAGAAATAAATATTTAAAATGTATCAGAAAAGGAAAAAAACTTTTAGGTAGAAAATATATTTTTGTTGGAAGCCTGATCTCGGAAATTTAATTTGTTTCGGTTTTAACCGCTGTTGCGAATTCCCACGGTCAACTGTATGAGATACGAACAAAAATTTAGAAACTAACTTCATTAATAGACCAGAAAATACTAAAGGGAATATATTTGCACTGAAAAATAGAATCTTGTTACATGAATATGAAAATAATCAGGATAGTTTGCTTCATATAATGAAATCCTCTTGCTAATGTTGTTAATGTAAGTTTAAATTATATCTAAAAAGTTCTAAAAATTGAAAAAAAAAGAAAAATGTAATTTAATAAAATTTTCAAAATACCAAGAGATATTAGAAATAAATTTTCTGTAAAATTTTTTCCTGCGTCATTGTTAGATTATTTACAAATGTTTACTTGAAATAAATACATTATATTCGATATTTCGGAAATAGTTTTAGTATTTAATTTGTTCGATTTAATATTTGAAAATACACATTTACCCTATAAAGATGAATATCTACTAAAATGATAAAAAATAAATGCAAAATAAGCCTGCCAAATAGCCGCATAAGAGAGCCTGACCTCAGGGTCTCTTGTGCGAATATTTGGGTTTTTGGTTCGAATTTGGTTCAGATTCCCAAAATTTATTATGATTAGTACGAGTTTGGGTAACGATCACAGAGTTTTTACGAATACCAGCCGATTCCAGTCCATCCAAAATTGGCACATCTGTGACCGGCAGTGTAGCCTACAATGTGCAAGTACTGTACATCTTGTTCACTATTAATTAATCGTACTTAAAATAAAAATACGTAAAAAATCAGTTTAGCTTTAAACGTCAATTGAAACAACTGTAATTTAATTGAATAGCCGTGCTTATACAGTAAAACCCGTTCAAAACGGAAACCTGCCAAGCCGGAAAAAATATTCAGTGCCTGCTAGTCCGGTTTACACATGTTTTACTGTATATAAAAACTCCGATTCTCCTATATAATATATATAGGAATTTACGTTAGACACAATGTATTATGGATACTCATTTTAGCTCTCCATTCCCCGATTTAGTTGACCCTGTTGCAGGTCAGATTAGCCCAGTAGTTTTCAATCCGGGTGCCGCTAAATGTAGGTGCTGAGCAGCGACATAACACTTACATGTATTACTAAAAGTACGAAAAGCTCAATAACTTTGATAAAGTAGTAGTGGTACCGCAAGAAAAAAATTACCAAGTTGGGGTGCCGCTATTAAAAGGTTGAAAAACACTAGCATGGCCTGTAATGGACAAAAGTGAGATCGGCTGTATCATTAGATTTCATTTTTTAAGAGTAAGTTGATGTTTCGGGTATGAAATCGAAATTTAAGTTTATAGATTTCTACGAATTAGTTGTTTTGAAGAGAAGTTAAATGAAATATTTGCCAATCAATTAATAATTATTGATGATATCATCAGTAAGCATTATTAATTGTATAGTAAATAAATGACTTTGAACTATCTTTGCTTTTATCATTATTGTACGAATATTTATCATGATTTGAATGGCGATGTTAATGGAAGAAACGGCCCTTGAATATATTTCAATAACTAACTAATATCAAATATTCAGTAATTGACTAGCTAATAATAATAATGTGATTATAACTATTCTCTATTTTAACAATTTTAAAGAAAGGCTTTAATATAAAATAGAAAGTAGCCAATTATTGTCGACAGTAGCTTAACGTAAATATTTAAAAAATTTCCTGGTAAAATGTATCTAAATTCTAATAATAACAATTAAAATTCTTTTAGATCTATTTAAATATTTTAAACAAAAAGTTACTCTTTTAATTTATAAAATGAATATATTATTCAAATTATTGGTCGAAATTTAAAATGTACACCCATTTTTATCCAGTTCCATTTTTCGTTTCAAATCGTTTATATTAATATAAATTATAATATTTTGACGTGACAAGAAAATTTAAACAGATAGAGAGATCAGAAGGCTTTTTTCAGATTCCTACCAGAAAAAATAAATGTTTTGTAAAGATGATATTCTCGATTTCCTATCATCAGAAATAAAATTAAATATTTCAATATACACAGATATAATCATAAATTTTTAGAATAATTTGAGACAATATTCTTCCTAATTGTAGTGAGAATTAAAATATATCTGATACGTTTCAAAAAATTAATAATAATTGTTTCCGAATTTGTTTTTTGAGTAAATGTAAAAAAACAAATTGAAATTTAAGAAAAGAATCACCAATACAGATAGCGTTTAAATTCGAAATTTAATTTTAAAAAGTCATCAAGAATCATTAGAGAAAAATCTAGCGGAGGAAATGTTTCTTTGAATACATCGAATGCAATAATTTTAACGTATTCAAAAATTCGAGATACAATGAATTTTTTGGAAGTCTTAGACGAAGACTAAATCAAAATGTATTTTCTTTTAATACAATTTTTGCCCCAAATATCGGATTTAAATCGGGTTATTTTAGGTGAGAATATTGGATAATCTCGACCGAAATGTCTTTGTTGGATATCAGTGAGATTGAGACCTTACTGTGGCTTCTTGATCCACGTAAAAAAGAAAAATATACCTTCTTTCCGTAAACAGATTATTTAATTTAGAGAATTAGTCATTTACAGTCAGTTAAGAATTATTCTTTTAATCTTACGCAGAATTTGTAGACGAGTTTTATATAGAAGTTAATTGTATTTGAATCGAATATATCAGCTCATGTACTGTACTGTATAGGCCTATATACCAGTATATAGGCCTACCTGTATACGTACAGTATACACTTTAGAAGGAAAGAATCCAAGTCTATATAATCTGTATAGGATCTTTTAAATAAATAAATTTTGCTTTTGTTTAGATAGCTTACAATTTTTTTAAATTTCCGCTAATTCGGTATTATGCGATAATTTTCAGATTGAAATGTTTTGTTACATCTAAAATTCTGAAAAATTTTTAACCTGTTTATAAACTCTTATCTTAAAAGAAATATGTTACAGGTGTAGACTATATTTAGTTTCAAAAAGAAATGCTTCTATCCTAGACAAAAATTTAAGTTCAATTAGAACATAGTTTTCTCAGCTTACGTTTAGATCTCAAGTAAATCGTATCAGTATGTGTAATTCGTTGAAAAAGTTTTTGAATCAATTAAACGACCTTAGGTCAGTCAGTACTTTGATTTAATTAAATTGCCAACTACAGTTTCTATCATTATATAAATGATCTAAAATAAGTTTTGCCCACCCGTGGTCGAGTAGATAAAATCACTGAACACTGATAGTCGTGGGTTCACGCCTGACCAATGGGTTGGCCACGTGGAATTTTCACGAGTCTAACATTCTGAGTAGGGACTAGTTTCCCCATAGAAAGTCTTCTCGGAGGCACACCCCCTTGGCAGATCGCCCATGTGTTGCGTTGCTGTATCCCATCAAACCAAACCAAACCAAAACCAAACCTAACCTAAAATAAGTTTTTATAAATTATATGTTTGATATCTTTTTAAAGCTAAAGATCATCGTTATACGATTTAAAAAGAAAACTTTTGGCTTTAGACACTGTTGTAACTGAAATAGAAAAGAAACAATTCTTGAAAGCTTCAACTTCTTTGGTTTTTTCTATTTTAGCACTGTATTGAAAACACCATTTTAATTGAATGTTACAATAACTTCTTCACTCATAATTAGTTAAAAATGTTTACATTTTTTTTCTGAATAAATATAATATTTGTAAAAAGCATCTTATTTATGAAAGCGATGTCTTATTTTCGAAAGAAAAAGAGACTATAGCTGCACTACAGAATTCACATAGGTGTCCGCAGAAAATTTTCCAGGTGGGCAAAGCTTCGAAATAAATAATTACATCAATAGATTTTTATGTATTTAACTTTTTGGTTTTTTTTTTTTCAAAATTAGATTATAGAATACAATAT